GGCTTGTTTTACAACGTCGTTGCCAAGCGACGAAAACCCAACCCCGATGGCAAAACACCGGGGGGGGCGGAGGCGTAAAATTGTCGCCTTGCCTTGATCATTGTGTTCAATGGAGCTGGTGAAGCAAGGGACAAATTCCCGCTGTAGGCGAACCTTTGGCCTATTTAGGACAAAGGACACCGAACACACAGCAGTAAGAACTAACCCCAACCATCCTCCGGGTGGGCACCTACCTGTAAGAACTGGCTCTCCAGCTGTGCAACCAGCACGAGGTACTCGCGGAGCAGCCGCTGCACCCCCGCGGCAAGGGCGTGCGCCACCTTCCCGAACTCGTACTGCCCTCGCTCGGACGCGAATCGGTTCACCCGGACGTAGTTGTTGCAGAGAGGCAAAACCCTGAATTGACATTTACGCCAAAGGGGAGGCGGGGGGGAGGAGCTTAGGTCGCCAAATTAAACGACATGCTGCGGAGCGTGAGAGAGCATCTCTGCAGCTCTCAGTCGGCTTTAAGCTTGGCCCCCCGACGGGCCTGTATACGCCTTGGTGTTGATGAACCTGGGTTCGCTACATAGAGCGGTAGGGAACACCCGGGCTGGGCGTTTCTAGCTCTTAGCGTAAGGTTTTAAGCCTTGAGTTCCAACAGCTCCATGCAACGAGAGGCCAATCAAGGTCTGACCTCTGCAGGTACAGTAACTACATGTCTACGTATCGAGCTCACCTCTCGGCGAGATAGGCCAGCGACTGATCGATCGAATCTCCATCAACGTTCACGGCGAACTCCAGATCGTACAGGGAGGTTGGAGGAGCGACTGCCTCGCCTTGCCCCCCGCTGCCGCCGACGCCCTTGACCACAATGTAGCTAGCGGATGGGTGGGTACACAAACAGAGAGAGGCAATAGAAAGGGATAAATATCACCAGAAAAAAATGAAAAAGATGACCAGGACAACGACGGACAAATGCCCAAAAAATGGCCATAGACGGTGAAAAGAACAACACGGGTACGAGCCATCCATCGGAGTTTTACCGGTAGGGGCAGGCTTAGGCTAAGAGCAAGAGAAATGGGGATGGGTTAATGGACGACCAGCGGGCGGGAAGGCTAGCGGAAAGCAGAACACATGAAAAGGGGGTCGCGAGAGGATACCGGATGAAGAACTCCCCTTCACAAAAAAACGCGCACAGCACCGAACCACACCCATGCAGAGCACATAACGGGTGCGAGAGAGCGCACGGGGGTGCAATCAATTTGTGAATGGTTTCGGGCTTGGCTTTTTATCGCACGGGGGTGCGATATCGCCGGTACGTGCGATGGCGATCCCCGTCGCATCCTTACAATAACCAATTGCTCCCGTACAACTCTGTCCTTGCCATTCCCTTACGAATAACCCGTTCCCGTACGTACAACCTTATCCCGTCTGTATAACCCGCTTCCTGTATGTATAACCGTATCACCGTATCCCCTGTGTATATCCGTTTCCCCAATGTACAACCAAATCATAAAAAAACGCCACCACACCTTCCCGCAAACCCCATCATCGCGTACAGCAGGTCGTCCAGCAACAGCTGCTCCTGCATGGCCTCCGGCAGGGCTTCCGCAACCCCACCTTCACCCTGTCGCTCCCGCCCCGCCCCTTCCCCTCTCGATCGCTGCAGCTCGCCGCCGCCGCCGCCGCCGCCGCCGCCTCGGCGATGGTCGTAGTCGATTACCACACTGTCCCCCGGCTTGATGCCGAAGAGCTTCGCCACCGCCCGCGAAGGTGCCTTAGGGGGGCGCGCCAACAGGAAGTCGCGCGTTAGGTAGGACCTGCGGTAGGGGGGGGGGGGGGGGGGGGGGGGGGG